TTTTGGCTCCGATTTTTTTTCTCTGGGAGTTGTGATCACGTGTGCTGAGTATGTCTGTCTTAATGCGTGCGCAAACTCTCTCTCTCTCTACATATACACACGACTTCCTTCAAGTGGTCACACTCTAAAATCGACTGTAACAATTTCAACAAGAATTACAGCTAGAGGAAATCTTGTTGTAAACCTATCTATGTTAATGGAAATTAGGTCTTCAAATGAAGACCAATAACGAGTAGAGCTTTAAAGCTCTTGCGCTTTTCTATTCAATGACTAAAAAATAATTTGTATTGAAATTTATGAACACGGTTTAAAATAAATAGTATGGAATTGTCTCACTGCTTTTTATTATTAATACATTATTATTTAATAATTTAAGCTTAGCAAATTACGGACCAGGCAATAAGTCCAGCAGCTATCTCAATCAATCGTCAGTAAGATCGGGTTCCAAAGGCCGGATTTCTTGTGAATCAAGTCACGAAAAATTCAAGAATCGGCAATAGGCCATGGGCCTATTTCTTCAGTGCCGACACTTCTATTATTATCAATTGAGTAGATAGAGAAAAGTGTCAAATGGATGCATAGATAAACTGGATAAAGTCACGGTGTAGGAGTGCAGCAAAAAATTTATATATATATATATCTTGGACAGCACTCGGAATTACAGTACGTGCGCTCACACTGATTAAACTCTACATATACGGTATACCTGATGATATATATCGGGTTACGAGACTAAGATCATTTATTTGATCGATAAGTAAGAAAGAGGTGTCAAGATATAATTTATTGATATATATACGGGGTGGTAATACACGACCGTATAACTCAAGCGACGCGCGCACGTTAGACATCGCGGGGCGCTTAGCAACTACTACAGTGTTAGAAGGGCTCTGCTCTCCCATACTATTGTGATTAGGTGTAACTGAACCGTAGCTACAACTACTAGTGTTGGAAGGGCTCTGCTCTGAACCGTAGCTACAACTACTAGTGTTGGAAGGGCTCTGCTTTCCCATGCTATTGTGATTAGGTGTAACTGAACCGTAGCTACAACTACTAGTGTTGGAAGGGCTCTGCTCTCCCATGCTATTGTGATTAGGTGCAACTGAACCGTAGCTACAACTACTAGTGTTGGAAGGGCTCTGCTCTCCCATGCTATTGTGATTAGGTGTAACTGAACCGTAGCTACAACTACTAGTGTTGGAAGGGCTCTGCTCTCCCATACTATTGTGATTAGGTGTAACTGAACCGTAGCTACAACTACTAGTGTTGGAAGGGCTCTGCTTTCCCATACTATTGGGCTTAGGTGTAAATAAACCGTAGCTTCAACTACTAGTGTTGGAAGGGCTCTGCTTTCCCATACCATTGTGACTAGGTGTAAATAAACCGTAGGACTGTCGTCGATTCTTAACACACACATTGCTTCGCACAAGATCCACAGCTTGTTGCGGTCTTGAACTCGCGCGCAACTCACTACTTCTAATTTTCTTTGCTTAACCGCCCGGCCTCCTTGCCGATACTGAACCTATTTCAAATTATCGTCAGTCTTGAAAAAAAAAATCCGGTCGAAGGAGATACTTTTGGAACCTCGGTGAACATATTGTCACAAAAAGAGATTCGGCAACAGGGCACATGTCAGACCTACTTTTCTTCAGCGCCGACATCGCTGCGTCATGTTTTACGAAAATGAAAAACGGCGCACAGCCTCCCTGACAGCATCATTGCGGGTCAGAACGAAATCTCTCGCCTTCATGAACAGACTTGACAACACAGCTATGCAGGAACATATACATATATATGTTGACTTTTGAAAGGTTTTGCCTATACCTTACGGGTGTGTTGCAATCGGAAAATCAGTTATTTTAAATAAAAATATATAGAGTAAGTTTTGATTAAAGATCACGTTCAAAGTGCCCCAGATCCCTTGTTCAATCATCAAGTCGCAAAAATTAGACACAAGAATCGGCAATAATAAGCAATTACCGCAATTCTTTAGTGCCGACACTTTTATTTAACCAACCTCACTGAAACACAACTGCCAAACATATCATAGACAAATAAGAAAAATATACATTTATAAAAATTGTAAACATCAATAGGGTAGGGAAATAAAATGCATGGACGAGCGAGCAATAATGACACAAACGAGCAGTGTATAGTATGACAGGGGCGCGCACGGCCTACACACGTTCAGAGGCGAGACAGCTCTGATGGTGCAGTGGTGAGAGGCTCTGTCTCGCACCCAGCTCCCGGGTTCGAGTCCCACTGAGGACAAGTTCTTTTGGGTAGTTCAGCTCATGGTCAACTCAGCCATTCATCCAACTCTGGTTGATAAATGAGTACCTGGCTTGTCCAGGGTGTTGTGTATGTACTGCGATAAAATGGTTCTGGCGGGTCAGCGAGCCAGTGATGGTCGTAGAACTACCAGTGGCACCGAAAAAACTGACCCATCACCCCCTCCCTAGTCGCCACTACCAGGATGGGCAATTACAACAACAGACAGAGAGCTCTTGTCTCACGACACTCTGCTCGTTTGTCGTCACATTTCTCGCTAGTCTCACACTCAAACAACATTTTTTATTAAATAAATGCTTCTTCAGATGATATTTGTTGGCGCGCACACAGTGGCGCCGGCAAGATGCACACATCGCGCTACAGACATCAGATAGAGAAGAATTATTCTTCATCGCCGTGTGTGTTTGTGTGAATACAGAGACACAATCACACTCTCTTCTTCCCGACAACTGCGCTTCTCCACCTGCACAAATAAAAACATTAATGCGCACACATCTCTCGCGAGAAAACAACACCTATATATATGCTCCCCTCTTCTAACAAAAGGAGAGAGGGGGTCCACAAGCACACACAAACACACCACACGACAACGACAATGAATATTGTGTGTGCGTGTAGAAAAGCTAATGCTTGACTAAATTTAAAGTTCGAAAGCTCTAAGGTTTCAAATTTTATTTAGAGAAAAAATATCAAATGGACAAAGTCTGCACACACGAATATATATATTCTAAACGAGTAAAACTAATATTCTCAATAGGCAAAATAAAATCTAGAGAGAGCACTAATAAACAGGAACGAGAGAGAGCAAAAAAATACAGAAAAATCACGCAGGCCGGGTTAAGGTGAACACTTAACAATACTGTGCCGCCAGGTCTATCCGACGTCCGGACCTCTTCGTGGTGGATGGAGCCTTCCGGTGCAACCCGTCGTTCCTCCCGTGGCAGGCCAAAAAACACACGGGCACAACTTACAGCCGGGCAACTAACAACTACACAGCTGTAAAAATAAATTAGATTAACATAACAGTAAAGGATGTATAGCTTGATGATTAATTGTACCCAAGCACTGCACGCTAAACTATATAAAGAAATGTGTGTGTTTGCGCATGAGAAACTTATCAGGTAACCTTAACAAAACAAGCAAGGGACGTAGTTATAATTAAATGGAACCAAGATCAATTCAAGTAAGAGCAAAGAACCACAAAAAATCTAAGCGGATGATAACAAAAACATACACTATTAAACAATGCACAATGACTGAGACAGTTAAGTATAGCTGCCTAGTTTAAAAACGGACATCAGACAGCGCATTTCACAGAGGGGGCTAGAGCTTGATACCTCTTGTCACAGCACATATAAGACCATAGGGAGAATCCTCGCAGGTTAGGTCCAGGTCAGGTCTAGTTCACCTACTTTTAGAGCACAGTAAACGAACCTTTACCCTGAGGTCCCTCGCTTCCACGTGCAGCAGAGGACAACGCCTCTGCCACACACACACACAGCCCTCCGGCGGATGACACGACAGTGTCGGGGGCTAGAGCTTGCTTGATACCTCTTGCTACAGCACATATAAGACCACAGCGAGAATCCTAACAGGTTAGGTCCAAGTCAGGTCTAGTTCAACTACTTTCAGAGCACAGTAAACGTCTGACCAGACCTAACCCTGAGGACAGTCGCTTCCCTCCCCCCCCCGTGGGGCACCCAAGGAGATCAGAGTTTCCTTGGCCGAGAGGGAAGGACCACAATCGTGTGTGATTGAAGCCAGACCCCTCACGTCATGCGTAAGCTTTGATTTGCCTCGACTCTCACCGTCATACAGAGCTCAAAGTGTGCGCGGCTACAGCCGGTCAATTTTGCCATTGTCTTGCAACACCAGATCCAAGGTTCTGATTCCCAGCTCACGTTCTCCGTTAAGGATGAACACTGTGCGACGGTCTGTACCCAGTGTGGTGAAGGGGATAAGCATGACACCCGTCCACGCACACAAGCTTTCTGATACCTCTTGAAGTCTGTGGCGTGGAAGACAAGTCCCACAAGCAGACGTGTTTGCAAGCCTGGTATCGTAGACACTCTGGGTATCGTAGATACTCTGGGTATCGTCGATGCTCTGGGTATCNAAATCTTGCTAAATCTTGCTAAATCTTGCTAAATCTTGCTAAATCTTGTTTAATCTTGCTAAATCTTGCTAAACCTTGCTAAATCTTGCTAAATCGTGCTAAATCTTGCTAAATCTTGCTAAATCTTGCTAAGTCTTGCTAAATCTTGTTTAATTTTGCTAAATCTTGCTAAATCTTGCTAAATCTTGCAAAATCTTGCTAAATCTTGCTAAATCTTGCTAAATCTTGCTAAATCTTGCTAAATCTTGTTTAATCTTGCTAAATTTTGCTAAATCTTGCTAAATCTGGCTAAATCTTGCTAAATTAAATCATTAAATCATTAAATTATAGAAATTTGAGTTCTTTTGCACAATAATTATTGTATACAAAGTTAAGAATTTAAGTTGATGACATTTTGATGTCATAACGTGTACGTATAAATTGTACTGTTTGTTACACAGGCTGTCGATCAACGGGTAAAACTCAATAAATTTTCTGAATTCGTTTCCTAATAAATTATACTTTTTGAAACTATAAGCATCTTTTCTCGAATGCAACCGGTTCCAATATACTTATCTTTGTTGTACTTTCATTCGTTACCATGACTCGGTTGTGCAGACGACCATTACGACTTCAACTACCAGCAGGAGCGCGTTCTACCACAACCTCGCACAGTGCTGCCTGGCGACCATCTCATTGTAACTTGTACATACGATGCGACCAACAAGCGAACTACTACTTACGTGAGTACTTGGTCATTCAGCATAGTACAACGTGTATTTGGTAGTACTATTCCTGTAATTTCAATCTGGCAATTTGGTAGCACCCATAACGGCGCGGTATATGCTTGCCACATATGGGGACTTGATCAACTATAACATTGCGAGCTATATTAATAATTCAAAGACGACGTTTTTTTCATTTAGGTTTCGTTTTTTCAGCCGCGCAAGGCTAGCTTATTTGACCAATCATGTTTAAGATACAAGACGTTTAGCCACGCCCTTAGACACTAGTCCTTAATCATACGAATTAAAAAAATAACATCACCCTAAGAGATAAGATTTTTCGGTCACAGAATAAAAATATTCTCGCATTTTTTAGACAGATTCAATACAATTCAAAAATAGTCAAACAAAAGTCGAATCTTCAAAAAAGTTTAATACTCTGGGATGGATCAATTCAACTATCATCAGAAAAATATATTTCACAAAATTTGTGTTTCGTCACAAATTGATGCAATGTTCATTCATTATTAGTGTACTTTAATTTCATATCGCAGTTCACAATTAACCTTTCTTTCTCTAAGTTGCATGGGCTTATTCACTAATTTTCCTATTGGTGAATACTATAAACGAAACTATATTATAATAAAAGACTATATTATAATAAAAACGAAATGAAGTACGAGTTAAGACTTATTGTTCAGGGCGGGTTCAAGACGACGAACGAGATGTGTCTGGTGTTCGCCTCTTACTATCCTCGTCAGCGGCTCACTGAGTGCTGCTCCCGCCCCGACATCGCTATGCTGCTCGATACGCTCGGCGTCACCAACATGCTCAACAACGAAGCTGTCTTGTGAGTAGCAACTTCAAAAATTAATAAATTGTTCAAATAGCGACACATTTTCTAACCCACTGCACGAGTAGACATTAAACGTAGCCCTGATATGACCCTTTACCGAGCTAAAATGGGTCAGGATCAACCAAAAGTAGGCAAAATCAGCATTGCTATTTGTATAATGTCTCGCTGAGATCTTTGAGTGGATCTTAACTATGTACACTAAGTCAGACATGGGTAAGAATACTGCTCTAGATCCCGCATTATGTATGCTTGATGAACGAGACAGTTACTACATATGGTGGCATTATTGGGCATTCATAATAATATATTGCAGTATTTTAAATGCGATTTCCTGCGAATATTTAGCATTTTGCACAATGGTTGCTAAGCTCTCAATATCTCAATTTATCATAAATAATCTAACACGATTTTTCGTTTTTCCAGGAGCGCATTTCAGCTTACGTCGTTCAAGTGAGTTGTTAGAAAATATGTTGCTGAATTTACAGGTAAACTAAATAATATTCACGATTTAGTATTAGTGAGTTGTTGAAAAATATTTTACTGAACTTACGGGTAAACTGTAATAAAGATTTAGGATCAAGTACCAACACAAATAAGTTTTTGAGTGTATATTTGTTTATTTTTACCATATTTTTATGCTCAATAGTTGCCAATTTTGTTCCTTTCCATTTGCGAATTGTTACATATTTTCAACCTTTTATTTTGATTTAAATATGTTTAAATTAAACACTTATGTAAATTTGTCATGGCGGTAAATCATGAATATATTCAACTTATCTCGTGCTCAATGGTACGTAATCAGAACGAGTTTCACTTGTAATATATGTACAGTATGAGTGAATATTTGCTGTAAGTGAACTGCGTAGAATTTAACTTTAATAAAATATTCATGTTGCTATCTATGGAGACCCTTGACGTGACGTGTTCGTAAAGGAAACATTGATATATGTGATGCTTTATCTATTTATTTATTTATTTTCTGTGGTAACAAGTATGTGCTCTAATATTCTCAACATTTCAACGGTTGGCTAGTAAGAGATGCTAAATGGAAGCTAAAATAGATGCAATGGTGCCATTTTTAATGAAGCCCATTTGTCACAATTTCTCAGCATTTCAACGGTTGACAAGGAGCGAGACGCCAAAAGAATTGATGTGATGAGGAACTCTTCGCACGCCGGCGAGACCTACAGCGACCTCGAGCTGTCCAACTACATGCGAGGCATGATCATATCCGAGCCGCAGGGTACGGGCCAAGAATGCTTATTAGATACTTAATTGTTATGAATCAGGCTTTGAATTAAAAATAAACTTTTTTAGATATATTTAGATATGCCCAGATTTTATGCAATTTATTCGCGCAAATATTACGAAAATTTGTTTAACATTTGCCAATATATTATGCTATAATATTCTATTTATATTTGTCAAACGTACCATAATTTTTAATTTAGAAGCGCCAATGAGATGTCTTCTATTATTAAATGGCAAGAAGTTGTTCACGATTCCAAACCGTTTTATTTTGCTGATCTTTTCTTACATTTTAATATTGAAGTCTAATACCAAAATGAAGGCAACTCGCCAATTTATCTTCTTTGAATGACACCAAATATTCTTATGCCACCGTCTAACTCTGTTCAAATCAAATTTTATTCGTTAATATTTGTTTTTTTTTGGTTAATATTACTCATTTCGACTATATTCATTATTTTGAATGATTTTTCTTATTTTGATAATATTTATTATCTTAGCTAATATTTCTTCTAGTGATTTAGCGGTCATGTAAATCAATCAATCAATCATTGTAAATAATTTTCTCTAATTTATCTTTTATTGAATGCGGCTCATAATGTCGTGAGTTGTTTCATTCTTCTGCAAATCATCAGTGGACTGTTTGTATGCAGTTAGGTTTTTAATTGATTGGAACAAATTCAGAGTTGAGTGGCAAAAGTCTTTTGGATTTCCTGAATGACGGGAGCCTGTGGCAGCGCGAGAGCGTCGTCCGCCTCCTACAGGAGCGTCTCACCTCGGGGCAATACGAGCCCTACTGCACCTTCCACGGCAGGGGCATGCCTAAAGGGGTTAGTAATTAATCTGTGGCGGCAGTGTCTGCTGTTATTAATATTGCATCGAAATGTACCCTCACTATAGCCCATAATTCTCACATCTATAAATATGTAAAAACAAAGAATAGTCCACAAAAATTCATATCTTTATAGAAAACGTTTCGGAGACCGGCTCCATCGTCAGTTTGTAGAATCTAGAATCACAAATCAGAAGTCACAAATTAAGTCACAATGCTTTTAAATTCTTGGTTAATTTGCGATTTAAGCAAACAAGTGACATCAATTCTCACATCTATTTGCCAAAGTAAACCAAATACCCTCACTACTTCCCCAAATTTCATCCTCTAGATGCCCAAGAAAGAAAGAGGATGAGATTTCTTTCTTTCTCTAGATGCCCAAGAAAGACACCCTCACTATGTCTCCGAATTATCTCCTCCAGATGCCCAAATAGGCTAAATACCTTCACTATATTTCTGAATTATCTCCTCCTGATGCCCAAATAGGCTAAATTCCCTCACTATATCCCCGAATTTTCTCCTCTAGATGCCCAAGAAGGCCAAATACCCTCACTACATCCCCTACGAGAGGCCCGAAGAACCCTGTACACCGGCTGGTCAGGGGGCATCAAGGTCAGGTGCCCCACACGGCCATGCCCCGAGTCTTCTCAGTGACAAGGTCGCCTTCGGGAGCCCGATTACATTCCATCAAGATACGGCTTTCCATGACTCGTCCACAAGTAAGCATATAATTTCAGCGCGGAAAATTAATAATTGCTACTGAGTTTTTTCGATTGAGCATTGCATCTGAACTTGGAACATGCATTACAAATTTTATTATAGTATTACTTTTTGGAAAAGGTTCATTATGCATTAACGATGGAATCAACTCTTCAATAGAACTTCTTTAACTGAAAGTAAATTTATTTTATACATAATGAACTCATCAGAACTTTTCTTTACCCAAAGACCGACAGCATCCGTACGTCTATGATTTGCCTGCTTCTGACGACGCAGATTCTAACACTGTAAACGAACATTTATCTTATCAAGCTGGTCCATCTGAAGCGGATAAGCATTTACTGTCTTCGAACGCTGCACATCCGCATGGACTCCAAGACTCTCCCAGCAAGAATCATGAACTTTTCTACAACATCAATACAGAGCCCAGCCATGAGTCAGGTTTGGAGGCAAACTTCTCCCCCGTGCCGCCGCTCATCAACAATTTTGACTTCAACACAGCAGTTACCCAGCGAGGTAACACTTATTCCATTGAAGGGGTAACCAACAAGCCGCCTAAAAGTAACAACCCTTAAATTCAACCCAGGCAATTGGAATAAAAAAAACCCAACAAAAATTTTGGTCCTTAAAAATCCAAAATAATTAATTGCAAAATTCCTCCAAATTCAATTGCAATTTAATTGCAATTTATTAAAATATTAAAATGATTTTACATCAATCTGATATCTTCTTTCTTCAGCAGTATTCATTCTCAATTAACATCAATGACTTCATGGTTTATAACACTTCGCTGATTTATATCTCCTCTTTAATACCTAATCCTCTTCCATTTATTCATAAGTTCATTACCTACTTCTTATCATTTTCCAGACCCTGCGCTGCAGGCGGAGGCTGAGGCTACCGCCGGTCGTCCGCATTTCCGGACCGCTGAGCAGTCGGTCGCCACTACATGTTCATTGTACAGCCTCGTGGCTGTGTTAAATTTAATACTCTTGGCATTTTAAAATACTTGCTCAATAAAATCTCGGTGGACCATGGGAAAAAATCTAAAAATCTTGCTCTTTAACATGAGAATCTTCTTGCAATGTTCATACGCCTCGCAATACCTGTTTCTTACTTACGTTAATTATTGTGCATCGTATCCCACATATGACGAAGTCTCCGAAACTAAATACTTTCATCCTATTCCATATTCGACTAAGTGTTTGCAACGAAATTATTTTTATCTTATTTTATACTTGACAAAATGTTTCAAACCGAACACTGACTTCGTATCTTATATTTGAAGAAGTTTCTCAACTGTAATTTTTCTTATTATTTCATGTATGACAAGTTTATAGCTCGCTTGAAGGACGAAAATTCATGCAATATGATTTCATAAAATGGAGTTACTAATTTAGAACAAAATTTACAATAATTATGTCCAACGTTCTCAGGCTAAATGACTGATCCATGTTGTATCTTTCAAATAAATTGAGTTTGAGAAAAATTTTTCGAAGTATGCGTAGTATTTCCAAGCGTTTCTTCCAAGAGATCAGCAAAATTAAAACGACGCGAAAGATTTGTGCTTCACATTTACTCAATGAAGCAGGCTTACTTTTTTTGTTAGGTATCAACATAAGATGCTTTTCCATAGACTGAATTTTGGTAATTCTGCAGGCTTATCTTTTGTTGTTATTGGACTACTTGCATTGAAGAGGAACTGTAGTCGATTAAGTTAGTTGTTCAGTGTGTTTGGATTCCTCGTAAGTCCAATTATCAGTTTAACAGCGCTCGTTGAAATGGATTGCTGTATATACTTGTACATGAGAAACTAAATTTAGTATTAGAAGTTCAATTAAACACTTCACGATTCTCAAACGAAAAGGTCACTTGGGTGAGGCTGTGATATGAAATGCACGCTCCTCACATCTTTTTTTGCGTTGACTGTAGCTGTGGCATCTTCAGTGATGATTTGCATTTACTTTAGACAATTAAGTTTCAAGGATGATTTGTACCACATGTAAATTTTGAAAATATATTTATTATGAATTTATATTTGGCAGAAATTAACTAACTGCATTCTTGATACAGTAAATTATATACAGGGTCCGCCATATTTATGGCAACGGATGTTTGCTATATAAAAATGAATTGGTTTCTAGGAGACTTTTCTTTTTTAATGAAGCTTAATATCATCTATTAATTCATCTATTTTATATTGCAGAAGTCTAAGGTGTCTAAATTTACTATTACATGTGGCAGTAGATAGAAATGCAATTGCAACCCTTCATGAAAAGGGCGAGAGTAATTCAGTCATTGCAAAAAAGCTCCAAATTTATCGTGAAACTGCGTGGAAGGTGGTAAAAAATTCGAGGAAACTGGTGAAACATGTAATCGACCTGGTCAAGGAAGGAAACTAAGTGTCCGAACAAAACAATTGGTTAAAAACACGAGGGAGAAGTTGAGGAGAAACCCTCGTCGCTCAGCTGCAAAATTGGCTGCAGAACCTCAAAACCTCCCCTTACAAGATGCAAACAAGGCATGAACTAACAGACCGTCATGAACGAATGAGGCTCGAAAGATGCCAGCACATTCTGGATCTCATTGAGGCTTGCACGCCTCCCAACTTGGTGTTCAGTGACGAGAAAAAAATTGACATTGAACAAAACGTTAACCGTCAAAATGACAGAGTTTGGAGTCGGGATGGATCTGTGGCAACCAGAACAGCAACACGACGTCAAAATCCCATGTCCGTGATGGTTTGGGCCGCGGTAACCGCCACTGGTAGGTCCCAACTCGTTTTTGTCCCCTCAGGAGGGAAATTGAACAGTCAGCGATACATTTCGGACATTTTGGAAGCTGTGTTGTTACCTTGGGCCCGTAAACACTTCGGCTCACCATTTAGTTTTCAACAAGACTTTGCCCCATCACATGGCTCAAACATGACCCAAAACTGGATTCAGGATCACATCCCAGCGTTCATGAGCAAAAATGAATGGCCCTCGATCAAGTAGCCCTGATTTGAATCTTCTCGACTTTTCTGTGTGGACTATTTTAGAGAGTAGGGTCTGCAGAACACCTCATGATTCTTTGGATAGTTTGAAGTCTAAATCGACACGAGAATAGGACTTGATCCCTCAAGAAATGCTGCGTGTCTCATGTGAAGCTTTCCCGCGTAGATTGGAGGCGGTCATTAAAAATAAGGGTGGTCATAGTGAATGAATATGTCTGTGAACTGTTTAGGTAATTCTTGGCTACTAGCTCATCCAACAAAAAAAAAACAATGCACCTGTTTGTTTCATAGAGAAACAACATAAAACATGCGTTGCCATAAATATGGCTGACCCTGTTGTTATGGGCTTTACGACCCATAATGTTTACTGAAATCTTTTATACGATTATGTTATATAACTTGTCACTCTGTTCCTGAACAGTTGAAGTATCGTATAAATACAGGCTTATGTTAGCACACATTTATTTATTCATCCAATCCTAACCCCACAAGGCAGATAATCTTATGTACTCTGTCAAAGCAGGCCCTTTTCGATCGATGAAAGCCAAACCTGATTTTTCGGCACAGACCAATGTGGTGAAAATTGCAGCCGTTACTACATCAAATAAATTCAATGTCTGCTATACCAATGCTGAGTGCGTCTTACATCAGTAGCGAAGCATGTGCTGATTGTTTTTAGCGCATTTTCTCATTTATGGAAAAAATGCGCTATTGTGCTCCTTATGTCCGTCTCTGTCAGCCGTGACTTCACGTTTTCCTCGACGAGAAAATGCGCTCTGTCACTCACTGCAGTGAGTAAGTGGATGCACTGTAGGCTTATTTTCAGAGTTGTGAATTTATCTGCACTACACTTATGAGCATTGCGAGTTCATGAATCAACGCATGAATCATTGCATGAATCAACGCAATATGATATACACAGTAAAACTTCAAAAATTCGTTAACTACGCAATAAAAATCGGCTGCATGATGCAATCGCCAAGGTAATATTTCGACTTAGAATTTTCAAGCTTTTCAGTATTTTCAGTATTTCCGATCTCGTTGGATATATGTGCCTTTCTATAACTTAGATATTATGCGCTCGAGTTTAGTGACCTATGTGGCAGACGGTATAGGTCTTGGAAACGTTGGCATTCAGAAACATATCACTAGCTCACGCACGCACGTTCGTTTGGAGCATTCGTCACTACAAGCGTGAGCCGATATATTATGTAAATATAAAAAGACTTGAGTACGATCATATTAAGATAATCTCCAGCCACTTCAAATAACTATTATTGTTTTCGCGATCCGTTAATTCATGCATTGAATGGAAGATATCAAGTGCGAGCTGCACTACTGACAAAATAAAATTTCCGACGATGGCTGCGAAAAACAAGTTCAGAAATGAACAATATTAATACTACAATAATTTCATTTCGTCAGTAGTGCAGTTGGCTTTTAATATCTTCCATTTAATGCATGAATTAACTGATCGCGAAAAAAATAATACTTGTCTGAAATAAATTTCAACAATTCCTGGAAGTTATCCTCATATATGATCGTGCTCAGGCCTTTTTATATTTTCATATAACTTCGGCTCACGTTTGTAGTGAAGCACGTTTCACATGAACGTGCGTGAGGCGAGTTTTTGCTGATAAGATTCTCAATGCCAACGTTCAGGTCACAAAACGTTGACCATTAATATCAAAGTATTATGAAGACTTTACGAAACCCTTTGCGTCCTTTACCCTTATATCTTCATAGAACAATATTTTAATTCCAGAAGTATATTTTGCTTTTGCAGATTCTATCCTGCAGCAGATTCTAGATTTCGAAGTGACTAAATTTTCAAGATATTTTCATGTTTAATTCATTACTACTAAATAGTGACATTCTTATAGTACAAGTATTCAAATTTGATTTTTCACTGAGAAAATTTTGTTGAAGTTATAGTATGCGCATATTTGTGAACTCACATACAGTGGGGGGAAATAAATATTCGTACACTTGAAAAATCGCATTTTAATGTATGTAAGTACACAAACTTAACAGGAAAAGTGATTTAAATTATGTATAGAGACCCATGGTATTCAAAAATACTATCAAAAGAAATTAAATCTCAATGCAACAAAAAACAATGCAACATGTTCACTTTTCGGGGTGAAAAAAGTATTCGTACAAAACAATAAATCCGCATTATTTTAATTTAATACTTGGTTGAATACCCTTTATTCAGCTCAACAGACACCAGTCTATTTCTATACGTCTCGACCAATGATTTGCAGATGCTGACTGGTATAAAAAGTCACTAGATTGCTTTAATCGCAGATTCACTAGAAATTTAAAAGCGAAGAAAACACCACAAAAATTTAGCATATCTCTTTTGAAAACGTTTCGGAGACCAGCTCCTGTCTCTTATACACATCTAGATGTGTATAAGAGACAGGAAGAATGGTATAAAATACCAGTCAGCATCTGCAAATCATTGGTCGAGACGTATAGAAATAGACTGGTATCTGTTGAGCTGAATAAAGGGTATTCAACCAAGTATTAAATTAAAATAATGCGGATTTATTGTTTTGTACGAATACTTTTTTCACCCCGAAAAGTGAACATGTTGCATTGCTTTTTGTTGCATTGAGATTTAATTTCTTTTGATAGTATTTTTTAATACTATGCGTCTCTATACATAATTTAAATCACTTTTCCTGTTAAGTTTGTAGACTTACATACATTAAAATACGATTTTTCAAGTGTACGAATATTTATTTCCCCCCACTGTAGCTCTCAATTGAACAACTTTCAACGTTGGTACAATAAAATTTTATTCTATATCGTAAACTCTGGTTCGTGCTTTCGCAACGACAGGAAAGCCTACTCATGAATTTTTCATGTGCAACTTGGTCAATTATGCTACAATGAGGATAACTTTTATCCTGGAAAGTAAAAAAGGACGCTGGGTTGTCTTAATAAGCGATTTTAAGCACACTCCGCAACGTGGAATTGTGGACCGTTGAATCTTTTATGTTCAGCTATAATCTTGATGGTAGCTGTAGAACTTTACTCATTTGCCTCGTCACAGTATCGAATTATTTTCCAGGATTAGCTTTCGCTGTCTGCCTGTCATGAAGAAGCGCAAACCGAAATAGAATATTTGTTTCGCTAATGATTATTATTTCAGCACTGGACTGATGACGTTTTATTTCTCAATCGTTTCGATCGTTTAATTATCGGTAGCAGAAATAATCAACCACATATTGATGATTATATTATACTATATTCCCATGCTCTAAAGTCTAAAGCAGGACAAAAAAATATATAGATATCATGTATATTTTAGGAAATTCAATCAAGAAAATACAACCTGAGAGGTGCTCGATTATTTTACGCCCGAGTTTTCTCTTCTCATAAAAATTCAAACCCTCATCGCACGACATCATTTATTTTTATTATTCACTTGAAAATGCGGGTGTTATTTATGTGATTGAATAATAATATGTAAGAAGTCTTTCGTGACTTTTTCAAACTGTAGAAATCTTGTTGGATACATGCATTATCGCACTAAAAATTTTACTACATCTGGTGGGCTAGAAGGAGACATCAAGCAGGCAATACCTGCTTAATTTTGACTAGAATTTTTAAATTCCATGCTGAGTTGGCGTTAAGGGGACCGTATACCCTCCGGAAAAACTTCTACAGTTATCATCCGACCATCATGAAACTTCACATACATACGTAAAATGTAAAACAACTTTTGCTCCTATGAATTTTTCGAAAAAATTGATAAAAAACGTGAAATTCATAGAAAACGGCCAAAAACGGGTACTTTAGAAAATCTATCTCCACCTACATCTAAAAAAATCTATCTCCACCCTTTTTCCCATTTTTCCACTTTTTCCCTGCCCCCCCTCCTTCTCCCCCATATATATGACGAACCATGCGCAAATTAAAAAAAGTGATGGGTTGGTCGACAGGTATGGTCTTTACGAATCGAATGGTATATGTCTCATTGCTGTAGCTTTAAAACTCTTGGAGGAGATAGGTTTTCCGTGAGAGCAGTAGGAGGTTTACAACACGCTCAAAAAACGGCCGCGTGGGACGTAAACGGATGTAAAAGAGTTGTAACGTAGCCTAGATACCGTAATTAAGCCTCAA